TTACTCAATTCTTCCTATTTTAAATTGCAAGTTTTAAATGTTGAATTCCAAATAATGAAGAGTTATAGTGAACTCAAAATGTTAACTCAGTTTCTCTCTCCACAGATACTGCTAGATCCAAGTTTCTCTAGCATTTTGTATTTTTATTTCAAATTTCCAGCATCCTCAGTATTTTGCTTTTATTTTACCTTTAAATATACATTCACTGTACAAACTTCTTCCTCAATAACTTACCATTAAATGTAAACAGTAGTGTCTTTTTAGTGTCAGGCAGCTTAAGGGGCTGACCCTCTCTAAACAAAAAGGGAAGAGAAAAAGAATTAAAGAGGCACAGACAAAGCTTCCTCCTAATTGTATGGACAAGAAACAAGGGACATATTGCAGAATATTCCACACTTATAAATATATAGTAAGTATCAATTTTAATTTAGTGTAGCAACAATTCATCAACCCTTTGCTTCTCCCACCAAAACTGAAAGGTCTGAGGCATTGTCACCAGTTGCAAACACAAACTCTGCACCATTGCATCACAGTGATTTTTATTTTCTGACTTTTTATTAGAAGTTAAGAAGGTTCCTCGCCTTAAGAGTGAAGAGTTATCAAGTGTAGGCAAGAATGCTGATTTGGATATTACAATTAGAGCAGCCATGATGTTAATGAGTGGGGAAGCAGGAACAAGGGGCTGAATGACCTACTAATGCTGTTTGGTTGTAGGGTTGCTGTAGCAGCAATCCAGGCCAGCGTCCTCAAGGGCATGCTCGCTCCCTAAAGGTGTTATCAGGTACAGATTTCACAGACTAACAGTGGCACCTAGTCCCTCTCCCAACACCATGAGCCAAAATACAGACTTGTCAAATTGCCCGATAACAGCACATCACCAGGAACCCAGATGATGGCTGTCAGTGTAGGCCAAAGATTCAGAGACTCATTCAGTAGTGCCCCACTGCTGCCCCCAGACAGATCGGCTTACTCTGGTCTCAAATCTCAACCTGGCTGAGAATGCCCCGGACCCTCCACCAAGTGCTCTGAATGTGTCACTCTTATCCCACCCGGGTTGCGAATGAACACCCTCCCTCCCACCTCACAATATTCCTATAATCCGGGTGAAACATGAAACGACTAAAAAATCCTTAAAGAGTTCATTGAAATAATTCATGTTGATCTCAACGATACCTACTCTTGAATAATTTTAGCCCCAGAGAACTGGTCCGAGAAATGAACAGACTCAATCTTGTCAGCATGACTTGACAGGAAATGCACCATCTGGGATCAGAAAGAGAAAACATCCAGACATTAAATCCACAATAAATCCAGCTCTAGCAAATACCTGGACAGCTAAAAGACCGGACTCACGTAAAAAACCATCACTGTATAAACTGAAGCATGGATAGACTGGCATAGAGGTAGCATTGGTTATGCAATGAGTTGGATACTGCACTTTCACAAGTGTAGCCTGGGCACAAAATTTTAAAGTGATAAATTCAGTGAGGTGAACCATTTTGCTGGATCGAAAGTTGCCAAGAAAAACCAGTTCCCGGTTGGCAACGACAGAGTAAACAGAGAAAGGATAGAGCAATTGTTGTGGAAAATCAGCCCCCCAGCTTAGGGCTGGGCTCCATTGACAGGTACATGTAGAGGGAGCTTTATTCTGCTTCTAACCTGCATGGTACCTGTCCTAAGAGTGTTTCAAACAAAAAGCAAAATGCCTTGGATGTTGGAATTCTGAAATAAAAACAGAAAATGATGAAAGCATTCTGCAGGTTAGGTACCTCTGTGGAAAGTGAGAAAGGGGTGGTTAGGTGTTTCAAGATCTGTTTTTATTTCTGGGTATGTTTAATCAGGATACGAGTTATGTAAAGTGGAAAATGTTTAATTCATCAGCACTATAGTACACACGCACATTATTTATAGCTAACAATGCCTGGAGCGGAGGAAAATTGTTTATCGCTACAAGCAGTCCAGCTGATATCTGAGGCTTAGGCAGAGAATCTTGGTTGAATTCATACAAATTCAGTAATTACCTCCTAACTTTTACAAAATCTACTCACACACAATTCACCTGATGAAGGAGCAGCATTCTGAAAGCTTGAGATTTCAAATAAACCTGTGGACTATAACCTGGTGTTGTGTGACTTCTGACTTCACGCACAAGTCAGTATACTCACCCTGTTGTCCAGGATACCCTCGGTAACCTCGCCCATCTCAGACAGGATAGATAGTGAATCAGGAAGCCCAAATTTAATCCCTGACTTGGGCTTATCACTGCAGAACTCACTCTAGAAAAGAAAGTAGGTTTAAAAACTCCTTGACCAATAGCAATCACAGTCACTTAGATGTCAATTGGAGGGGCAGAAGTTATTCTTGTAGTAAGCTTTTAGATATCAACAGAACAGAAATTAAACATGTCAATCATGAAAGGACTTACGGCAGCCATTCTCCCTGCCATTGTTGAAGTGTCTGTGTAAAAAGTGATATTAAATTTACTTTCTATTTCCAGCAGTAATTATATTATTTCAGAAAACTTACATGTGCATTGTGCAGGGCGAGTCAAATTTTGGGGGTCACAAGACCCAAGGCAATAATGATTGCCATGGCGGTTGTACCAAGCTACCACAGCCATGCTCCTACTCTAACTGACCCTTTCTCTTAGTTCTCACTAATGGGTCACATCAATTTTCAAGCTTCAAATTGGGGTCATAGTGGGAATAAGTTTGGGAAGCACTAGACTAGTGTTTACATTTATATGTTTGCTATCTGTGTTTTCAGCAATAATTGAACAGCAATATTCTGAATGATTGCTATACTTCCTCCACAGGAGGATCACTGGATTTTCGACAATCTGTTAAACTTGTGATATCGGTAATATTACATTAGCCCTCTTGATTCCCCTCTGCAGTTCAATTAGGTCATGGCTAAAACACACTTCAACTCCATTTTTGAGAATGGTGTAAGGACGGAAAAGCATTATCCAATAAAAACCTGTCAACACTTGTGTCTTCAAGGCACTGAACTGTTAGTATTGGTGTACTAGTTACAATGAAGAAGTCTTAACTTTTGGAACATAAAATCTGTACAAACAGCATCAGGATTTAATACTTCACATGGTGGTGCCATACACTACCAGCCTGAACCCATGCATTCAAGTTAGTTTAGCAAATGCTACAAGCTATTCATCAAGAATTAAAGCACTCAGGATGGTCTTTCATTACGTACCAAATCCTGCATCTCCTTCTGCATGCGGACCATGGCCTTCCGTGATCCGATGGCAAACACATAGGTGTCCATGTCTTCTTCATTCATTGTCACTTTGATTTGCTACAGAGGGAATCAAAACAAGCTCTCATTTTCACTAAAATTTTGTTTTTATCTCATTTCCACTGCTTCCTTAAGACACAAGCATTTATATAGCAAAACAATGGTATGTGAGAAAAGAGAAAAAGAGAGGCAGAGTGAGTGAGACTGTGAAATAGATTAGAATGAACAGTGGAGCAGGCTTACTAGGCCAAATGCCCTACTCCTGCTCCGAGCTACTGTATTACCATACGTACCACTTGATCACTGGCCGGCCTCATCATCCTTGCAAGTACGTTTAACAGATCCTGCCGTTTTAAAAACTAGAAAAGAAGTAAGTTACATGTAGTTACAATAGCACGCGGACAGAAACATTTTTTCATCTGAAAAGAATCATGTTCCAGATGTGCTTTGTGTACCTTCCCCAAGATTGATAATTATCAATGCATTCCAGATTATGTCTATTTATGCTGTTCACCATTGCTTTTAGGTCTTCATTCATAGAGGTCATAGCTGCAGCGCTAACCCTAGTTTTCCCTCACGAATTGTTGATGCATTTAAGAAGGAAATATGGAGAGTATAAGGCCAAAAAGTTCTAATGAAGAAAGAGGGTGGGACAAAAAAAATCCAGCAAGTCCTGGATTTCGACAATATATAAGACTGGATAAAGAGAAAAAGAGGGGCTCATAGCAGATACTGAGGGCTAAAAACAGAAGCCCTACAGGAGTGTAGAACTTAAAAAGGAAATTAGGAAAGCAAAAACTGGATATGTAAAGATGATGATAGGTAAATTATAGGAAAATTCATACTTATTTTATAAAGTACATTAAGAACAAAAGGATAACTAGGGAAATAATAGGAACCATTAGGGAACACAGCAGTAATTTGAGAGTGGAGCTACAGCATGTAGGTAGGGCTCTAAATTAATAATTTGTTTCAGTGTCCACTAGTGAGAGGAATGATAATGGGTATAGAAATCAGGGAGAAAGGCTGCGATATAATTAAAGAAATAGCATAGACAGAGAGGACTTTGAGGGTCTGGCAGGCTTGAAAGTAGATAAAATTTTCAGGACTGGATAAAATATATACCAAGTGGTTGAGAGGCAAGGGAAGACATAGCAGGATAACAGCAATAATTTTCAGTTCCTCTCATGCCAGAGGACTACAGAAAAGCCAATATGATACCATTATTAAAGAAGGGAGGAAAGGATAGTCAGTCTAACCTCGGTGCCAGAGAAAATATTGAAACCAGTTCTAAGAGACAGAATTAATCTGCATTTGGAGATGCAGGGATTAACCAAATCAGTCAGCACTGTTTTGTTAAGGGGAGGTCATGTTCTGGACCTCAGCAAAGCTTTTGAAAAGGTACTGTATGGCACACTGACTGCAAAGGTAACAGTGCATGGAATTCAAGGAAATTTGGCTAATTGGATCCAAAATTGGCCGTCAGAAGTGTAATGAAACAGAGGGTAATGAGCGAAGGATGCTTTGTAACTGAAAGTCGGTGTTTAGAGGGATCTCACTGGGGTCAGTGTTGGGGCTATTGCTGTTTGTGTTTTACATAAATGGTTTCAACTTGAATGCAGAAAGGCTGATCAGTAAGTTTGCAGATAATATGAAAATTTGTAGAGTGGTAAATAGTGAGGCGAATAGCCTTCGATTACAGGAAGATATAGATGGGCTAATCTCAGGGAAATGGAATTCAGTCTGGATAAATGTAAGCTGTTGCACTTGGGCAGAACCAACAAGGCAAGGAAATACACCATGAATGGCAGAACCCTGGAAAGGAACAAGGATTATAGAGACCTTGGTATACATGTCCACCAATCCTTTAAGGTAGCAGGACAGGCAGATAAAGTGTTTAAGCAGGCAAATGGGTTACTTGCTTTTACTGGTCGAGGCAAGGTGGTTACGCTAGAATTGTGTAAAATGTTGGTTAGGCCACAGCTGGAGTATGTGTACAGTTCTGGAATCCACATTATAGGAGGGATGTGATAGCCTTGGGAAGAAGACAGAGGAGATTCATCAGGATTTTGCCTGGGCTGGGGAGTTTCAGTTATGAAGAGAGATTGGACAGGCTGGAGCTTCCCTTGGAGCAGAGATTGAGAGAGGACATGATTTGTAGAGTTGAGGCCAAGATAAGATCAGTCATGATCATATTAATTGGCAGAGTAATCTTGAGGGGCTTAATAGCCTATTCTTGCTCTTAGTTCTTATGATTGAGATGTGTAAAGTTGAGGGGGAATAGATAGGCTAGACGATAAAAAAAAAATCCCTTTGGTGGAGGGATTTATACCCCAGGTCATTGATTTAAGATAAGGGGCATGAGGTTTAAATGAGATGAGAGGGAAAAGTATAACCCAGAAAGCAATGGGAATCTGGAATTCACTGCCTGTCAGGGTGGTAGAGCAGAAACCCTCTTAACATTTAAGAAATATTTAGATGTCCAATTGTGATATCAAGGCATGGAAATGGACCAAATGCTGAAAAAATGAGATCAGAATAGTTTAGTGGTTGTTTTTGACTTACACAGACTCAATGGGGCTGAAGGACCTTTTCCTGAGCTGCAGATCTCTATGACTGTATTGGCAGATGGAGTTTAATTTGGATAACTGCAAGGTATTGCATTTTGCTAAAACGAACAAGAGCAGGGCTTATACAGTTAACGGCAAAGCCCCGGATAGTGTTGTCAAACAGAGAGACCGAGGGGTTCTGGCACATATTTCTTTGAAAGTTCCTTCACAGGTAGACAGGGTGGTTAAGGACGAGTTTAACATGCTTGCCTTCATTGCTCAGACCATTGAGCATAGGAGTTGGGACATCATGTTGAGGGTGTATAGGACATCGGTGAGACCACTTTTGGAGTACTGTGTACAGTTTGCATTGCCTTGCTATCAGAAGAACATTGTTAAATTGGAGAGAGCTCAGAAAGAACTTAGCAGGAAGTTGCCAGAACTGGAGGGTTTGAGTTACAAGATAAGCTGGATAGAGTGAGATTTTTTTCATTGGAGTGGAGGAGATTGAGGGGTGACTTTATAGAGGTTTATAAAATCCTGACGGGCATAGATAAGGTGAATAGCAAAGGTAGTTGACCTTGTGTGGTTGAGTTCAAACTATGGTGCGCATATTGTTAAGGTAAGAACAGAAAGATTTAAAAGGGATCCACTGAGAGTGGTTCACGTGTGGAATGAACTGCCAGAGGAAGTGGTAGATGGCAGGTACAGTTACAACATTTAAAAGACATTTGGACAGGTACATGAATAAGAAAGGTTTAGGAGGAATATGGGCCAAACACAGGCAAGTGGGACTAGTTTAATTTTTGGAAACTTGGTCAGCATGGACAAGTTGGACCAAAGGGTCTGCTTCCGTGTTGTATGACTCTAGGACCTGTGTATTTCTAATGTTGTGTGTTATTTCAGGGTCAGAAGTCACACAACACCAGGTTATAGTCTAACAGGTTTACTTGAAATCACAAGCTTTTGGAGCACTGCTCCTTCATCAGGTGAAGTGATGTGTGTTATTTCAGATAACTAACATTGTGGTTGGAGTTAATCCTTCACACGTTTTAATCCCTTTTACTTTGAAGAACGTTTTGAGCAACCTGACGTTTCATACTTAAGAATATTTGATTCTAATTGAGTCCTTTTATGTGGTGCTTATAATTTCTCAGTCCATCTGATAAAAATAACAAATTCAGGGAAAGTGTGCCGATTGACATTGAATACTTAGTATGTGAATTCTGAAAATCCAAAGAATTGTGAATTCACTTCGTTCACAACTTAGATCTCTGATCTTGAAGCCTCCAAGGCTGGATTCAAGCAGGTTCCCATACCTTCAGCTGAATGAGCATTCCCTCACAGCACACACGCCCTGAGCACCACAGGTTGTAGATATGTTCATTTTCCTGGGTCAGTTTCCCTGTGCTGATGGGTTCTTTATTGATCCCATCATCTCCTGCAAGCAAACAAAATCTCATCAGTTGCTACATTTTGCTATAAACACTCCCAGCTCCCAATCCATCCCAGCAGATAGAATTGTTAATGAGAAACCATTTGAACACTGGCCTATTATCACTCTAACCAAATAAAACCACCGCATATTTGAAGTGCCTCTATTTGGTCATTCCACCAAGTGCAGTACTGATCCATGGAGTTCAGACTGATCCGGTCTGGATAGGATTACGTTACTGTCTTACTGAGAAAACTGCATTTGATTCCAGCATCCCTGGCTGAGGAAGGACTAGGAAAAGAAGACGTCCAGTATGGTGACTGCTCATGATCATCATTAAATGGCCAGCTTGGCTCAGTTGACAAATCCTCCTGATGCGGAGCCTGGCCGTTCCTGTGTTACAGAACATTGTGCTGTGGAGTTGCTCCCCCGAAAGTGGTGACGACAACTGCAGAGCACATCAGCACAGCTAAACAACCTATGGCCACTGATCAGCTCACCAACAACAGAACAAAAGAGCTTGTCATTCAGCCACTCACCAACAAGGGAAAAGTTAGTCTCCAGCAGTTCTTTGTGAGAGTTGAACCACGCAGTAGCCAGCCTGCTGTTTTTGTTTTTCCCTATGATGTAGTTCATGATGTAAGCCAACAGGCCTGTCACCATCAGAATCTCCATGTAGTAGCTTTCCCAGCTGTTCTGCAGATGATGTGGGACCTAACCAGGATTAGGAGGACAACAATCAGAAGTGTGAACTAGTGTATGAAAGACAATATACTCAACCCAACTGCAACAATCAGCAGGGTCCCAGCACCAATCTCCAAACTCTTCAGACTGCATAAGTGCACCAGCATCACCTTCAGCTCCCACTTTTGAGACCTCTGGCCTGTGCCTCACGTCCTATTGTTTAACCAAAATACCACAGCATCAGCCTTGGTGCTGCCAGATAACATGCAACTCAAGTCAACCAAACTTCTGTTCTTGTGCATTTTCTATGTGGGATTTTCTTATGGTGATGTATTTGAGGGCCAGGTGACATCTAGCCGATTTTGTCCCCCACAAAGGCAACTGCAGCATCATGACTGGCAGTCGAGCTGGGATTAGCTAAGAATGCAGATTGGGTGCCTCCCAGCTGGTATACATGCTCCTTTATTAAACTGCAGTTTCCCAGGGACTTCACAGAATCTGCAGGAGAGACTTTTGGTGTGATTGTTGCTGAGTACTTACATTAACAATTTTAATCGGATCTTTGCTTCTGCTGGAAGGTCTGTCCACCTCCTCGTAGCCTTCAAATTCTTCATCATCAAATGGCTCTCCTTCTGCATCGCCCTCCTGTTCAATAAAAGATGGTATTTTCAGAGAAATACCCTGTACCAGTTTTATTTTATTTTCCCTTAACGGTTGTTTGTTTGCCTTTTGTGTGAATGGGGCCAATTAGATTACTTTGTTGTTTAATTTTGCTCGAATAAAGTTACTATATAGTTAATAAACTGTTAAGTCTTCTGCTTAAATTACAAACTTATGTTGAAAATTGATTGCTTGCAAACTCTGGGACTGGTTATTCAAGAAGTCTAGTTCGGCACGATTGGGTCAATTTTGAGGGTCTTTGAAGTTTTCAAAATTATTGTGTTGCAAATACAGGAAGTAGAAAGACTGATTTGGTTTGGCTGTCTGTCTCTGTGCCAGTTTTACATGTTGTTTCTGTCACTGGCTGGGAAGATATGTCGCCGCATGAATAAACAGAAATCTACATTCATTCATAAATAACACTTTATGAAGAAAAGGGCTAATCTGAATCCTTTACCCCGTAATTAACTACACAGTTTTTCATTTCGTTCTCAGTCTTTAGTTCATTTCATTGTGTTGGTGTTTAGTGTCAATGAAATTGCTTATTCCACTCGTGTGCATGCCAACAAACTATTAATCTGGTTCTTCTGAGGAGAGTGGGTGAGTGGAGATTAAAGGGAGTGATATCACAGTCAAATCCAATACATATCTCACTTGTTAATCACCTGTGGATCACTGGATAGTGAAGCGTAGTCGCAATCTTGTTCATTTTTCTCGGTCCAGATATGCAGGGTCAGCTTCATACTCTAACTGCTTGATGTCAGCATGTTGGACCAATACAAAGAAAAAGTGGCTTTACACTGCTTCAGCTTCTAATTCAAGGCAGACTAATGGAGAACAAACTCCTCCCTGAATACCATGAAGTCAGGCATTTCATAAGTTTGATGTAGAACTAATACTCCTTCTACACTATCCTAGTAGATGAGGGACAGTGCAACAACAAAATTCATACATTGGCTACATCTTGGATGCTTTAAAAACCAACTGCACTGCTCCCACACCTTAAAGTCCTCCAAACTGTCAGCGCTGGGAGTCAACTTCAGTTTTGAAAACTTACATTGATATATTTATGTGAGAACACAGAGGCAATTGGAGTTGACAACAATCAGCTATGATCCAACTGAATGGTGGAACCAAATGGCCAACTCTTGTCCCTCACATCAGGATCAGCCAATAAATTTAACAAGCCTTTCTTGTTACCACAGCAGCACTAATAATGCATGAAAAGTCAATTCATGCAGTAGCTTGGGTGGGAAAAGCAGCACTGACAGAGTATGAAATCGGATGGTAGAAGGGCAAGAGGAGTTCAAACAGCATAATATAATCAAAATGGTGTTTATCAGCTATAACTGGGGAAGAAAAAAATCAAGTCTCTACATACTCTTGCACTGAGAACAACAAACAAAACTGGGAAAAATAGTGCTTATTGACCAAAATAGAACATCAGAACTTAAAGCACTTATTGAAATGTAGCTACAGCCTGGCCAGAAATGGTAATGAAATCACCAGGAGGGAGGGAGAAAGGGAATTGTATTAATTAGAGACAGCATTAGAGCATAGGACTTAAATAGGGAATTGGTCCAAAGATTCCTCTTTGCATTAAGGTAACGAACAGCAAAGGATTGGTCATATTACAGAGACTGCTATAAAGTAAAGACTTTGTTCAAACCAGAGCTCAAGATGTTTCAGATTATAAAAGGATAATGAGTGAATAATAAGATTGTTTTCACTCAACCACACATTGGTATCAAGAGATCACCATTTTCAGTATCAGAAATAAAAGAGAGAGAGTTAGGAGCAATTTCTTTATGCAATTTGGCGAAAATACAGAAGCTAGTGTTGAAAGAGCTCATGAACCCTTTACAGAATTAGATGATTGGTTGAAAAAGAAGAACATTAAAAGGATTAAGGAAGTGGAGAGTAGGATCTCAAGTGACTGATGTGGCAGAGAACACTAGGGCTTGACTTGATGAATGGAAAGGCAAGCAAGTGTTCTGGAACACAATATTACCAAAATCTTTCCTGTTACAATGAACTCTACAGGCAGCAAAGGATCGCATGTAAGAGGAACAAGAATAGGTCACTTGGCCCTTTGATCCTGCTCAACCAGTCAATAAGATCATGGCTGATCTGATTTTAATCTTAATTCTACAGTTCTTTGTTAAATCCTACATACCACTAAAAATCCATCATCCAACAGGTGGTCAAAAAAATCTATCTCTGCCTTAAAAATATTTAAAAATTCTGCATCCACTGTCTTTTGAGAAAGAGAATTCCAAATGCTCTCAATCCTCAGAAAAATTGTTGCATCATCTTTCTTACATGGCCAACCTCTTATTTTTAAACTGTGACCCATAGTTCTAGATTCTCCCACAACCGGAAACATCCTTTCCACATACACTCAATCAAGTTCCCTCGGGATCTTATATGGATCAATATCATATATTGTAGAAGAGCAAAAGCCTTGGTTCAATATTTCTGCATGCAAGAAAGAAATATGGGCACTTGTCAGCAGTCCCATGGTGCCTCACTTACTCCTGCCACATCTGAGTCCTCAAAATCTTCCTGGTTTTCATCCTGATCCTCCACTTCTACAGTTGCCTCTTCCTCATCATCTTGAACAGTAGTGACCTTCTGGATGGTCTCCTGGGGTACATCCTCACTTGTGTCTTCAAACTCTGCAAAGTCATTGTCATCATAATCAGCAATATCATCGGTGTCTTCAAAGTCTTCAAACTTGCCAACAGCAAGTCCACAGCTCAGCAAGAGAGGAAACAGGAGATAGAACTGCATGATGCTTCAGTCTGAAAGAAAACAGAGGTTCAGAATACAACGGGAAAAAAGTGCACCCAACACAGCAGACTCTTCAGTGTATCAAAAGATCAGTCTTTCAACGAGATCACCAATGATCCACGTCACCATGTTAGCCACCTCAGTTCTAGATTCCTATTGCACTTGCGTGACAAAAAGCTGTCAATCTCAGTTGATATTTTCTATTGGCTTTAAGCCACATGACTAGTTTTGGATAGGGTGCAAACAATCAGAAATCCATTTCCCTTATGTGAAGGGATGCACCCTAGTATTATTCCTCAGTGGCTTAGCTCTAATTTTAAGTTTGTGCCTACAGGATGAAATCAATATGGAAAAAGTGTGATCCACACTACAGATCTTGCAACATCTTTCAGGGGCTGCTTTTGAGCTCAAAGGAGAGGACCGTCACTTTGCTAATAACCTGCAAAATCAGTATGCTCATCTGACCTGCAGCTAGCTTTGCTCAAGATGTCCCAACACATGAAAATAAAAATCCTGGTCTTCAAATTCTTCCACCATCGCACATTTTCATATACCTGCATACCCTCTGGATTTTGGTCCTTTGCACACACCACTTCGTGAACAAATATTCACAACTCAACACGTAATCTGATGCTGCACACAGGGCTATCACTACATGCACATATCTTAAGGTTGCATTGGGTGGGGCAGTTCACATTCAAGACAGAGAACAAGATACGTCACAAATGTCACACCAAGAAGAAAATCACAATTAAGCATACATACAAATCAATTAACCAAATGACTAAAAATACACCTTGGTGAATTTGCTCATCTTCATTAGCAAAGTTAGTTTTAATCACTGATGCTCAAGATTAACAACGCCACTCTCAAAAGGGGTGATGAGGCCCTTATGGAGTGAAAGTGGGATTGCTCCTTGTTGTGGAGAAGGTCAAGCAGGAACTTAATAAAGCTGTGCAAGGTTTTGATAAAGTATATAAAGAAACTGCTTCTAGTTGCAGAAGGATTACTGACCAGAGAACAGAAATCTAAGGTAATTAGGAAAAGAACCATCATCAAAAGAATAAAACGTAAGCAGTAAGCTGTGATTTGAAATGCACTGCCTGAAAGAGCAGCGCAAGTCAATTGAGCAATAACTTTCAATGAGGAACTGGATACAATTTGAAAAGGAAGTCGACAGGACTATCCGGAAGAGCAGACAAGTGGGACAAGTTAAACAGCCCCTCTGAAGAGCCAGCCATAGCATCATAAACTAAATGGACTGCTTCTGTGCTGTACAATTCTACAAACATTTGAAGTGGGTAATGGACACATTCAGAAAACTTGCCGGACATGATACTTAAGACTTGTGATAACTTGGAGTTTTGGCCAATGCCACGAGGTGAAACATGAATTCATTTGTAAATGTATACCATGTAGTATAAGGTTTAAAAAAAAACTGCTGCTGTTGACTACAGCGTTGGCTTGAAACAGAGACAAAGGCAGTGGGAGGTCAGCCTCACACTTGAGTGGAAGTCAACATAATCTCTGCATTTACTGACAGCAACTCACATTAATACTTGAAGGTCATGGGACACTGGCAACTGCCCTACCCCTGGACAAAAAGGTCCAGGTTCAAGCCCCCGCCAGGACTTGTTGGTCACAGGAGTGTTCATGACTTGGCTCAACAGGCTGAAAATCACCCCACAAATTCTTCCAATAATTCCCTAAAGGGAAAATGTGTGCGTGTGAGAACACACATGAAAAGAACTTGCTTCAAGATATGAGCACTAGGTCAACAAGAGCATCTCAGGTTTGGTCACCTAATCAGCCACATCACCTGTTTCCAATTCTCACTAGATTATTCCTACAACAAGAATGTTGTTGGTGAAGAGAGATAACTCTGGAAGCCAGTCCATCACCCCGCGATCCCACTGACTCAGCTGCCTATGTGCTCTCATCAGAAGCTGACAGGTTCTTCCTTTATATGATCTAATAGGACACAGCAAACAAAACACAGGTCTCCTGAGTCAATACCAGGAACAGCAATTCAGTCTTGCTCTGCCCTCAGAAGTCTCCTGCATTAAAATCAAGTTGGAGGTGTTTTCAAATAACAATCATCTCCTTATATTTGCCTATTATTTCAGCTGGAAGAACCACTATAAGACAGACAAAATGGTTAAATGTTCTCAATGTGATGAATCCATCAGTTTATCACACAGTATAACATTTATCAAACATTCAAGAACAAATTACAACAATCTAAAAACGGCAGCACAACATTTGCAGACAGCCTGACCAAACAATACTCATAATAATCATTTAACTATGGAATACAAGGATTAAGGTATTGTCATCAGCTTAGCCACCACCACCCCCATCCTCCCCCAACACGTGAACACACCCAAACACTCAATTTATAGACAGTCAATGTGGCATTTTATAAATTCCTACTTTAGAAATTAAACCAGTCTGACTCCAAACCAAAACACAAGGATTCTAAACAAGGCCTCACACTCAACATGCATTGTCTGACCCAAAATGTCACCTCTTCTTTACACTGAAAGAACCATTAGTTCTCTCAGGACAGTGACTTGAAATGAATTTGGGGATTTACATATACATACTAATCAATTAAAACCTTCTAACTGACTAAACAGCATCTTAATTTTGTTTAATACATCCTCATCAGTGGAGTGACCCTTTGATCTTTTACTTATAAATTCCGTATCTGATACTACCTCTCTCACGAACACCTGAAGGAGGACAGGCTCCGAAAGCTTATGTTTTCAAATAAACCTGCTGGACTATAACCTGGTGTTGTGTGATTTCTGACCTTGTCCACTCCAGTCTAACATTGGCACCTCCACATCATGGTGACCCACCCTTCATGAGCATGTAACCACCATCAATTCTCTACAGGGAAGGAAATCTGCCATCCTTACCTGGTGCGGCTTACGCGTGACTCCAGACTCTCAGCAATGTGGTGGACTCAATTGCATTTTGGGCAATTAGGGATAGGCAATAAATGCTGGTCAGGCCAATGATGCCCACAAAAATGAATAAAAAATGCTTTAAAAGCAGTGTTTAACTTGGACTTTACCAACAGAATGTCCCAGTGCACCAAAATAAATCCAGTAATATGCTGACTGATTAATCACTGACTGTGACAGGTTGATTATATACACAAATACTTAACACCAGGCATGATCGAGTACAGAAATGAGCTTTGGTTCAAGTGATTAAATGGGATTTCTCCATGTTGCCCTGGTCAGCGTCCTGGAGAAGGTTGATTGGCCTTTTACCTGCCCTGCCATTCAATAAAGGTCATTATGGCCAATTTTGTATATGGGTTGCACTTTGCCTGTACCCCTATTATCCTTCTATTTCTCTCCATGTCCAAATTATTAAACTGTTAATGTACCAAATTAAAGTATTAATCCCAACCTGAATTGACTCATTAACTGACCACTCCAGTCAACTGAGATAAAGAATTCCAAAAGCTCTCAATTCCCCAAGTGAAGATAGTTCTCATCTCAGTCCTAAATGGCCAACCCCTTACCCCGAGATCATTACCATCCAATTGTGGACTCTTCAACTAAGAGAAATAGCTGCTCAGCATATATCTGATCAAGCCGCTTGTGAATGCAAGTGTTTCTTAGTTTTGTTCCTCAAAGGTCCGGCTCTAATCGTTTGTAGGGTCTTATCTAAAAGACTAAAAACAGAAATAATGTCTTTTCATCACCACTTAATACCTTGGAAGCTTTCATCAAATCATCCTTTTACCTTCCAAATTCCCAGAAATGCAATGTTCTAACCACCTGCTGTGATTTAATCCTGGAATCTAACATTCAGGGAGAGAATGCAGTGAGCATTTATAAAGCCAATCAACATATCCTTTCTAAGCCTGCAGTTCAAATACTCAAAACGTGATTCAAGCAACCCTTTGTACAGCTGCAGTACAGTTTCTACCCCCGAGTATTCTAACCTCACATTTGCCTATGCTGATAGGAGCTGGGCTCTTCCTGAGCAAAGATTGGCTTCTGAACAGGGAAAGGGTCTAGATGGTAAGGTTGAAATTTGTGTTAGTACTAAACTATAGACCCATAATAAAACCCTTCTAAATCTCACTATTTTGTTGGCTCATTCAATAAATGGAATGCAGGACCAATGGGAAATTCCTAACAAAGACACACAGGAAAGCCACACACACTGACCAAGTACGGAATTTCAACAGCAACCATCCTAACACCCACAAACGAAGTTGCGTGAAAACACTTTTTAAACGGGCAACAACACACTGCAGCAACACAGAACCACATTAAAAAAAAAAGAAGAGTACTTCCAAGTATTCAAGGACAACAGATACCCGAACAACTGGGTCAGAGGATGCCTATTACATGAACGACAACAGGAAGATACTGCACGCCCTGACACACTCATCACGCTACCTTACATCAAGAACACATCTGAACTGACCACAAGACTCCTACGACCACTAGGCATCAGAGTAGCACACAAACCCACATCAACCCTACGCCAACTGCTAAACCGAACCAAAGACCCGTTACCCAGTATGGACAAGACCAACGTCATATACAAGATCCCCATGCAAAGACTGCGACAAACAGTACACTGGACAGACAGAAAGAAAATTAGCCACAAGAGTACACGAACATCAACTAGCAACAAAAAGGCACGACCAATATTCGCTCATCTCCATCCACATGGATGAGGAACACCAGGATCCTGGGACAGGCCAAGCACAGACAAGCATGGGAACAAACACATAGAGCTAGATCCTATATATTCCAATGCAAAGGAAAACCGGAAGTGAGGTAGCCTAGCTCAACGGACACCAGGGTTTAAATACCAGGCAGGAAAACACAACAGCGCTTCATCGGAGGTTGCACTGATGACGTCACCATATCTCCTATGTTCACATCCAAATCATTTACATAAATGACGAAAAGCAGTGGACCTAACACCACCAGTCATATAGATCAGGCTCTGTCCTCATCAATCCTC